AAACAGTTCCTCTTTCAGCTTGCGGACGGGTTTCAGAAGAAGAACTGCAAAACAAAAACATTACGCAATCTGAGAAGCACAAACCTGTTTTTAATGCTTTTGGAGAAAATGACACCCACTCATTTAAAACCAAACAAACAAACAAAAAAAAAACAGTTTGAGCTTTTTATTTCTCTAAAGCTAGCAGATCTTGGTTGCCGTTCTGGTCTTTTCATTCAGAATAAATCAGATATTGTCTCATTTTGCTTCTTCTACCATGCTCGGCGTCTGACTGCCTCTCCTGCCTGACGTGGCCCCTCCTTCAGACCCTGAAAACACACAGTCAGTGTCCATCAGTACCAGACAACAGCTCCCCCTAGATAAGTGAACCAGCAGCCTTCAGAGGAGGCCTGAAGACTGAAGCAGAAAAATCTAATTCATTAATCTTAGAGGCAGTGAGATGCATTTATTTAACTCCAGTACAGATAACATGCCTCTACTGAAAGGGGAAGCCATTAGAGTCAACATAAATTTTTTTTATTTATTTGATTATTTATGTTCTCGAGATTAATTTACATTTCCAGGCTGTAATTTCTTGATTTTTCTAAGGACATTTCATTAGGGTGTATGCAACTTCCAATAGATAACATGTTTTCAAAACTTTTTATCTTAATCCATAACTTTGTGGTTTCATTATGAGTCAAACTTTAATTATAAAAAATAACCAGATTTAATCAGTTTTATTTAAAATAAGCACTGACAAATTTGCGACTTGAGTGATTTTACAACCAAGTGACTTTGACACCTTCTTACAGCAGTAAACTGTGTAACCGCTACTGACTGTAGATTTGTCTGCTCATAAAACACCCGTTTTATTGAAAACATGACAGGATAACATGAAAATGTTTTCCTTTCAACTTGGTTGTGTAAAAAAAACAAACAAAAAAAACACAATGGAAGAGGCAAGGAGTGAAATATTAAGGTAAATAATAACAGACACAGCTGACAAAATCTGCACATAATTAAGACTTTTAATGCTTAAGAAATAATTTTTTTAAGATTAAAAGGTAACCTTGTCTGCAAAATACCAGCATACCAGTCGGTTTTTATTATCACTAGGTTTTACAAATCAGGAAATAATGCAGCATTAATGTGGTTTTCAATTTAGAGGTGTACTAAAAGGTGTTTTATTAGCTCTGTATGAAAATCTTAAACAGTGGACGCAATTACTTTGGCTCAAATAAATGTAGTTTCCATCTGTACATTTTCAGAAACTTTAGGTTAAATTGTTAAATCCAGTGTATAATGTGGCATATTAAGGTTAAAGAATTTAACTAAAAATATAATTAAACATAAAAAAGGCTTGAAAAAATTAATATATATTTTTTTATTTTGGTAAACTTAAGTGGGATGTAACGATGAATGTTAGAAATATTTTTCTTACTTCCTTTTTCTTTTTGCATATTTATCAACGCTTGTGAACAGCGCTAGTAAATTGAATTATTCTCTAAATGTGAAAGATATGTTTTTACAAAACTGTTTCAAAGCAGAAAATTTGCTCAATAATACTTCTCAAAAGAAGGAAAACAAGACAACTTTAAAAAGATTCAAATCAGATACAAGTATTTGCCTTGATTCTGGTGGTATAGACTTTTAGCTGGAAGAAAAATAATTATCATTGCCTCCGCAATTAAAAGCATTTGTCTATAAGTTAAAATGACTCTAATTGAAGTAATTGCTTCCCTTATAAGCACTGTACTAACATTTCAGTGTTTGTTGTGAATAAAAGGACAGATTTGAACAATTTATAAATTAATTATTTGGAGAGGCTTTGAGCACAACATAGGTTTAATCAACTAGAAATTAGTCACCTCTTGAACTAGTTGTTTAGATGACAGTAATTGTTTCCACTGGAAGATTAATTTTGTCCAAAAAAAAAAAAAAACATCCCTGAATGTCATTAAATATATTCCATAACCACACTATCAGTGCTGGTAAGTATCTGTTTATGGATTATTGACCATTGGAGAGGTTGTTTTACAATCATATTTTACTGCTTTTGGGTTCACCTGCATGGACGACTCAAATAGAAAACCTGACACCATCACAGGTTTTTCTGCACCAGCAGGAGGAGCTCGATTAAAAGCCTCGCATGTTCACATTTTTTATAATATGGTTGTGAAATATCTTGGCTGCGGCGGCCAGAGGGGGGAGCCAATAAGGAATCCTTTGTATACTCACGGTATAGCATGGCACATGGTGAACAAAGTGTTTTACTGTCAGATTTCTCTTTCCATTCCTGACCTAGAGGAAATGCAGAGCATTTCTGTTTGTTGGAATAACCGAACACTGAAAATGTATGAATACGTATGGATACTGTAGATGTGATTTTTATGTCATCTTGGCCTCAGTGTTTTTCCATCGAGACCTGCTTAGAAAAGGTATACAAAAAAACCAGCAAACAATAATTTTAACTATTACAAGCCTAAGAAATGTGCTCTCTTATTCTGGAAGTTAATGTAAAATTAACATGAAATTATCCACACATAGTCCATTATGTAGGTTCACAGTCTTTTATTTTAACCAGCAAGTAATACAGTGTGACAAGACACGTTTGTTGGGCATCATTACTGTCTAGGCACATTTAGTCAATATTTAATCAGACTGACATTATGCAATTACACCAGTAAGAAGATTAAGGCACACTTTAGCTTTTGCCTCCAATTAGGGCACGAACTAACACATATTTCGACTTACCTATATGCTTAAATAAAAAACGATTTGTTGTCAAATGATCTTACCTGAACACCAACAATCAGTTTCCCTGCCTGCCGAACGTATCTTTGTCCTTTTTACTTTGTGATTATTTATTGTGTCTTAATCAATAGTTTTATTATTATTATTTATGTGACACTCGAACATATTAACGACCAAATATAATTATTTTTCGTCGTGTCTAGCTTGTTATAACAGAGTATTACGACAAACGGTGACTATATATTTATCAGAAACGGGTAGTAAGCTAACAAAATGGCTTCAAGTGGCTTCTACATAGACTCCACTGCTCTAATATTCTGACAAGCTAGCTTCAGGCTTTTAATAACATCCCAGTCTGACATTTTAATGGCTGTTTACCGATCTTAATACCCTTTATTAATCAGGCACGGAGCTAGACTGTATTTTTAACCAGTAGGTGCTTATCTGCGCCCTTCAAGTCAGAGAGAATATTCCAGACTCCATCTTTCCTCGCTAACAACAAGAAGCGTATAGCTGATCATCGCCATGTTGGGTGCTAAGAGAGAAGGTTGCTAACTGTTGTATTAACGGTCCTTACGCTGAACGTTAGTGAACAATATCTACGTTTTTTCAACAAGTACACGTCTAATAATGTCTCAATGAGTCGTAAAAGCAGCTGCTTGTACGGTTAAAAATAAAACGTTAACGCGACGTTTAACACGAAACTAAATCGTCGAGTCTACCTGACAAAATTACTGTAAGCTTCACACATCAACACAAGTAGTGAGATAATATACCTTTTATAATAGTAGCAAATAGGACGAATACATTTAATAAATATGTTAGAAAGTTTTGATTAGAGTAGTTTGAGCTACTCGGAGATAGTTTTGTTAATACAAAAAAATAGACATTCCAATATAAATATATATATATATATATATGTATTACCTGCGGAGGTGTAGTTGAGTCATAAACATATCATTTTTGGGCAATTTCAATTGTTATGCGATGACACGAACCGTCATTTTAAGTAGCACAAGCGCCAAAAACCATTGCTTTTCTTATGTACCTTGAGCCGTGGCCTAAAAGAATGCGGTCCATTTTTGTAAAAATATAAGAAACCCATCAATAAGTCATTAATAAGATCTGAAATAGATCAAATTCATAACACCAATTTGTCAAAATAATCCAGTTATGTCAAAAAATAAGCCTTAAACGAACAGTTCAGGCTTCCCCCAGGGTTTCCTAAGCGTCGCGCCGAAACTCCCCCACCTCCGCACGGCTATCCGTCGTAGTCAAGTCCGATGCTTGCGATTAAGTCCCAAAGATCCAAAAATGTACTAAAAGAAAAAAGTAAAACTTAACAGGCACCGGAAGTAACTCCAAAAACTGTCCGCTGTACACTATTTTAAGATTAAAATTGTTATGTTTTTTAACAATCTACCCTGGTTTTCTTAAATACATTACTAGGCCTTTAGCTCTGAGCCTCTTTTCTTAGAGCACAGGCTGATCCAGAGCGAGACGAACGAGAGAACAGAGATTTTTTTTAGTTTTGCTCAGAGGGAAGAAAGTTCATTCGGCAATCCTCGGCAAATATCGGAAAGGGGGTGGATTTTGATTGAATTATTTCACATAGATAAATTTCTTCATTGTCATTGGGTTTCCCTTTCCCATTGCTAAATATTAATGAGAAAACCATCCAATCCAGAGAGTGTCTACTAAATATTTATAGATTTCATGCAAAGCACAATATGCACCGCCCTTTCTCTTTCAAGAAAGCCAATAAGAATGAGCTCCTACAATATTTGTACCCGCCTTCAACTACGATTTGCAGGTGAAACTAACGTATACTCTGATTGGCTGTGCGTGGAATCTTTTTAATTATTCATAAAGCTACTTTCAAAAGCCAATGAGCGTCTTACTACGGAGTTGCTTGTCCCACCTTCTCAGCAAACAGTCCTTGTGTTTTTGAGTGGGGAACCCCGTAGTATGCTCTCCATCTATATAAGCAGGCGTTGTGCTGCTCAACGTTCAGAAGCGCTTAGAGCGCTCAAGTTAGTAGATCGGAAAAGGGGAGGGAGCGGTAGTTGGTCTGTGTAGGCAGGAACTGAACGTAAATTACTCAGCTCCAAAGGCAGCCGACAACAAAGGCACCTGGAATATTGCCTTCGGAGACTTTCCGGTCACCGTTGGCGGCCTGGCCGGAGTCGAGGTGACAATTTACAGGCTGTTCCTGCTCACAAAGCGGCGTGCCGAGGAAGGACGCGTCTCTTTGAATAGACAGGATGCACGGACCGCCCTCCGGTGACAGCGCATGCCCATTGCGCACGATCAAGAGAGTTCAGTTCGGCGTCATCAGCCCAGATGAACTTGTAGGTTTTCTGTTTTGGGGTGGGATTTATTTTCCTATTAATTAACTATTTAATAGTTGACACATTAAATTATGCAGTTTTATCGGTTAACGAAGTAGTTAACACTTTCGTCAAAGACATGGTTCTGTTTGCAACTGGAAAGTCTTGCTGTTAGCCTAGCCTAGCTAACTGTGTTAGGCTGGAGCTTGAGCTAACTAGCATGTTGCAGGAACTTAACAAAAAACTTAAAGCACAACACTTTGAAACGACCCATGAATTAAACCCCCTTTTAAAGCGTTCGATGTCTGTAGGGCCACCGTAAATAATTTTTGTGACTTGATATGTAGCTTTTAAATTTTGTTGTACTACTTAGCCGTGTACTTTATGATCTGTTATCTGGCATTATAAATAAAAAAAACCTTATAAAACACAAATTTTATATATTTTGCTGTTATTTTTATATGCTGTAGTGTGTTTTTATGTGGAAGAAAGTTGTGTTCAATTATTGTTCTACCTTCTATGCAGTGTTTACATTTTCCGTTTTGGAAATTAAATCTGAAGAAGTTGTAGATCTTTTATAAAGTAACTTTTATGTAGTGACCGATATTTTGAAATGCTTCTGTATTTTGGTATTTATGAAAACGTGATTGTGGTTACTCTAGCTTTACCATATGTTGTCCTCTTCAGAAACGGATGTCGGTTACCGAAGGGGGTATCAAATACCCTGAAACCACAGAAGGAGGACGTCCTAAGCTTGGTGGCCTTATGGATCCGAGACAAGGGGTCATAGAACGCAGTGGGAGATGTCAGACATGTGCAGGTAAAGTGTTGACATGTCTGAATTTCATCCAATAAACATAACCAGACGTCTCTGTCCCAAACTGAGGTTGTGAACCTCTCACTTACAGTACATTTATTCTTTCAGGCAACATGACTGAATGTCCGGGCCACTTCGGACACATAGAGCTGGCGAAGCCGGTTTTCCACGTCGGCTTCATATCAAAAATAATGAAGATTCTTCGATGCGTCTGCTTCTTTTGCTCAAAACTGCTGGTGGATTCCGTAAGTACTTACATTTTATTACTGTAAATATTGATTATAAGTCAATATTTTGCATTTAAACGTAATGTTCAGTGGTTCAAATCTAATTTCTAGAGTAAACACTATGGCTCACAACATCCAGTAAGGAGCAAATGTCTTTTATTAAATATGCCTGGAGTTTATAAGCAAAAGTAACGGCACCTTATATTTATGACTCTTTGTGTTGCAAACCTTATCCGGTTTTGCAACACTTGCTCCACTCTTCAACAAGTAAAGTGTCCATGTTAAACTCAAGAATGAAGAAAGTAAATGACACCAAACGTGGTGTTCAACCAGACACTATTACATTAAACCAGTGAGGTAAAAGTTGCAGATACCAGAAACGAAACACTCTGCCTTCACTAAGCTGCTCAAACCCAGCTTATGATCCCCCCCCCAAAAAAAAAAAAAATTTGTTCTCATTACACTTTATCTGAGACAGACATATTATTTAACCTGAAAAAAAATCCTAATTCAAATGAGTTTATTTGTATAGCTGCAATTCACAGTTTCAACAATTAAATGACAGAAAACTTCACACACTTGTATAACTAAGTTAATTTTTTTGTAAATCAACTCTTTAAAAAGCATACATTAGCAGGTGCTGAAATAATAGCAACAAAATAATGTTTTTGTAAAATAATGTCTCATGAATTTAAAATTGACACTGCATTTTATGAGTAACACACGGTCTACAATAGTATCCTTCTACCAATTTTTTATTTTATTTTTTTTTGCTGCTCTACTATATTATTTTAACACTTTTACAAAATAAATTAATAAATTTAGCATTTGTTTCTCAAAGACTATCTGACTCGCCGCACATGGGAATGACAGGTTAATACTAACCACTTTGTTTTCATTTGAGTTTTATAGCTCATAAAACAACTCATTAAAAGTTCTCATAAATTTAGTGTTGGGGTTTTTTTTTATCACCCTACCATAATCGTCACATTTTGTCGCTTTGCTTTTCTTTCTAGAACAATCCGAAGATCAAAGAAATCCTTGTGAAATCCAAGGGCCAGCCCAGGAAGCGTCTAACCCACGTCTACGAGCTGTGCAAAGGCAAAAACATATGTGAGGGAGGGGAAGAGATGGACAACAAATTTGGAATGGAGCCACAGGAGACGGAGGAGGACATTACCAAGGAGAAGGTATTCGATAAGAGTCCTCGTTTTTCTTTCCCAGCCGTTCTCAGCTCGGTTTCCCTGCCACTCACCCGTCGGGTCTCCCCTCAGGGTCACGGCGGCTGCGGGCGCTACCAGCCGCGCATCCGACGCTCGGGCTTGGAGCTGTACGCCGAGTGGAAGCACGTCAACGAGGATTCCCAGGAGAAGAAAATCCTGCTGAGTCCCGAACGCGTCCACGAGATCTTCAAGCGCATCTCGGACGAAGAAGACATCATCTTGGGCATGGACCCCAAGTTCGCCCGTCCAGAGTGGATGATTGTGACCGTGCTGCCGGTGCCTCCGCTGGCCGTGAGGCCCGCCGTGGTCATGCAGGGCTCAGCTCGCAACCAGGTACAACTAAAATCATTCTTCTGTGTTTCTGCGTTGCCACACCTTGCTAAAATTGTCTAACAAATTTTAATAAAAAAAAAAAAAAATCTGTTTCAAAGGACGATTTGACCCACAAGCTGGCGGACATTGTGAAGATCAACAACCAGTTGAGAAGAAACGAGCAAAGCGGCGCAGCTGCTCACGTCATCGCCGAGGATGTGAAGCTCCTTCAGTTTCACGTGGCCACGATGGTCGACAATGAATTGCCAGGACTGCCGAGGGTTTGTATACATATGCATCCAGCTGGATTTTAGCTGCTGGTATGAAGTCAGTTGTCATGTTTTTGCTGTTTTGCTTAAAAAAAAAAAAAAAATAACTTTTTTGGTTTTTTCAGGCGATGCAAAAGTCTGGCCGGCCTCTCAAATCCATAAAGCAGCGTCTAAAGGGAAAAGAGGGGCGAGTGAGGGGTAACCTGATGGGCAAACGCGTGGACTTCTCGGCCCGAACCGTCATCACCCCTGACCCCAACCTGCAGATCGACCAAGTGGGCGTGCCACGATCCATCGCGGCCAACATGACGTTCCCCGAGATCGTCACACCCTTTAATATCGACAGGTACGGCCGAGAGGCTCCCGGGTTTGAATCGTTAGCAACTTTGCGGGTAACTCCAGCTGATTTAGCTCCGATCGCTTTCATTAGATTGCAAGAGTTGGTCCGGCGAGGCAACAGCCAGTACCCTGGAGCAAAGTACATTATCCGAGACAACGGAGACAGAATCGACCTGCGATTCCACCCTAAACCAAGTGACCTTCATCTGCAAATCGGCTACAAGGCAAGACCAACACAATGTTCACATGTGTGCTCACATATAGAGATGTCAGCCCTCCCAAAACCCACCATCTTGTCTGACAAGCGTGTTTTACAGACTTTTTTTTTTTTTTTACTTTGAACTCAGATGAACTCACAGAAAGGAGAATTTAAATGACAGCCACTTAATAAAAACATTTGTAATGTCTTTTTAAGGAAAAGAAAGTGAGAAAAAACATCAATAAAAATCTTTTTTTTTTTTTTTAGTCTGGCTGATTTTTTTCACCCAGCCCTATAGAGATGTGAAAAGACTTAAAAATTTCTTTCAAATCGTGAACCTGTTGTAGAATTTTTTTTTTGTGCTTCTGAAAATGGTTCCCTTTAAGTTTTCTCTCCTCGGTAACAAGTTCCTGTGTGGAGTCTTTTTTTTTTTTACAGTGCTGTAGCCACGCTCACTGATCAAAAAGGATTCATTTTTAGATTTCCAACTTGGACGATACCCAATCAGAGCAGATCGATTTTAAAATCTGTTCACTGTGGTCGCATTTCTCTGTGCATATCTGTCTGTAAGCAACATGTAACTCATATTCTAACTGTAATTTGTCTTGATCATTTTAGGTGGAAAGGCACATGTGCGACGGTGACATCATCATCTTCAACCGACAGCCCACGCTGCATAAAATGTCCATGATGGGGCACAGAGTTCGGATCCTGCCTTGGTCGACGTTCCGACTCAACCTCAGGTACTGACGAAGATAAAACCTGAACAGAGATATCCCGGTCAGGATTTCTGTTGTCTCCGAAATCATCTTGAGTCGCGTACGATTCTGCATTTGCACATAAACAAAGGAGTGAATCAAAAAAGTGTTTCTGTAAAAGCATTGCTGCGACCAATGGCGCTGGCAAGAGATGTTAGTCAAATTTTGCAGGCGACTCCGATGTTGATATTGGATAAATATTACTTATGATGATAGATATTTTTTTTTGTTGTAGGAACTGACGATCAAAGTTTTTAGTGATTCCTGCATCGTCTTTTGCTCTCGCTGACGTCTGTGTTTTTGTTTGTGTATTTTTTTTCACCTCTGCAGCGTCACCACCCCTTACAATGCCGACTTCGACGGGGACGAGATGAACCTCCACCTCCCCCAGTCGCTGGAGACGAGGGCGGAGATTCAGGAGCTGGCCATGGTGCCGCGGATGATCGTCACGCCCCAGTCCAACCGGCCCGTCATGGGGATCGTGCAGGACACCCTCACAGCCGTCCGCAAGTTCACTAAAAGAGACGTGTTCTTGGAGAGGGTGCGTGGATTGCTGCTGAACCTCCGAACAGACGCAGGGTTGAGATCGCTTTCGCTCATTGCGGGTTTTCCCTCCTCTCTCAGGGTGAGGTGATGAACCTCCTGATGTTCCTGTCCACCTGGGACGGGAAGATGCCTCAGCCGGCGATCCTCAAACCCCGTCCGCTGTGGACGGGGAAGCAGATCTTCAGCCTCATCATTCCAGGACACATCAACGTGATCCGCACCCACAGCACGCACCCCGACGACGAGGACAGCGGCCCGTACAAACACATCTCCCCCGGCGACACCAAGGTACGGGGCGGACGTCTTTATCTACCGATTTTAAACAAAGGAACCGGCCTCGGGTTGCTTAATTTCAAGAGTGAATTTTCAACCAGGTCATAGTGGAGAACGGGGAGTTGATCATGGGCATCCTGTGCAAGAAGTCTCTGGGAACCTCGGCCGGCTCCCTCGTCCACATCTCCTACCTGGAGATGGGCCACGACATCACCAGGCTCTTCTACTCCAACATTCAGACGGTGGTCAACAACTGGCTGCTCATCGAGGGTAAGAGACGCATCCGCAGCTGCAAGGTTCCTCCACTGCCTGGAAACTTATTAAATTTGATTTAATAAGACTCCAGACTTTCTATGGATCATAAAATTAAAATCACAGGATTTTATTTGCATTTCTTATTTGATGGAAACGCCACGATTGTGAAGTTCTGTTTTTTCAACATTTGCAGAATATTGAAAAAGTTTTTTGCACATTTGTGGTTGAAACGCAGCCAGTGTCTAAGTTTGAGTTAAACAGGACTTTTCTTCACACCGATGTGTTTGTGACAACAGGTCATTCCATTGGTATTGGAGACTCCATTGCTGATGCCAAGACGTACCTCGACATCCAGAACACCATCAAGAAGGCCAAACAGGATGTGATAGAAGTGAGGAAAACTCTTAGATATGTTTTCACAGAATATAATGATTTATTAACCCTTAAGGAGGGATTTTATTTAAATTTTTTGTGCAAGAAACATCAGAAATGTGGCATCGCAGAGTTTAATTCCCCTCCTCTTCATCTGCCAGGTTATTGAAAAAGCCCACAACAACGAGCTGGAGCCGACACCTGGTAACACCCTGAGGCAAACCTTCGAGAACCAGGTGAACCGCATCCTGAACGACGCCCGTGACAAAACGGGATCCTCTGCTCAGAAGTCGCTGTCCGAGTACAACAACTTCAAGTCCATGGTGGTGGCCGGCTCCAAGGGCTCAAAGATCAACATCTCGCAGGTAACGCCTCGCCTCGGCCTGGCCGTCGCCGGAGAACGCCGTTCCGGTCTGAGCCGAGCGTAACCCCGTTTCTCCCGCAGGTTATCGCCGTGGTGGGCCAGCAGAACGTGGAGGGTAAGCGAATCCCCTTCGGGTTCAAGCACCGCACGCTGCCTCACTTCATCAAGGACGACTACGGCCCCGAGAGCCGAGGCTTCGTGGAGAACTCCTACCTGGCCGGGCTGACGCCGACCGAGTTCTTCTTCCACGCCATGGGAGGCAGAGAGGGTCTGATCGACACGGCTGTCAAGACCGCCGAGACGGGTCGGTGCACAGAGCAGCAGCAAAACATGAGGGCTGCAGCTAGCAGTTATTTTACTGATCCATTATTCTGTCAGTTACTCTGAAGACTGATTAATTTTATTTTTTAAAATTGCCACATTCTGCAGATTTTTCATTTGACTTAAGTCTTTTTTTAATACCATTTTAGAAATAATTCAAATACTTTTTAAAATAAGAAAATAAACATTTCATTGCCTAAAATGCAACAAAAAAATCATTCTTTAAGTGAACACTTAATCATTTGCGAGGATGCATCTGCAGCTGAAATAATGCCTACTAAAACTTTGCCACTTGAGTTTTGTGAAGAGTTCCTTATCTTAAATGAAAATTTATATATTTACTGTACAGTTTTGCTTCATTACTGCTCTAAATATGTTTTTTTTTTCAGCAAATGTAAGTTTTTTTGAGTATATACTCCAGTTATCGATCAGTCGATTACTACATTTTTGACGATTATTTCAATAGTCGATTAATCACAGTTTATCATTTCAGCCATTTAAGACGCAGCTGGAGATTTTTTGTTTCGGTTTGTCGGCTAACAGAGATCTCTCTCACTCTGCTTCCAGGTTACATTCAGCGTCGTCTGATCAAATCCATGGAGTCTGTGATGGTGAAGTACGACGCCACGGTGCGAAACTCCATCAACCAGGTGGTTCAACTGCGTTACGGCGAGGACGGCCTGGCGGGAGAGAACGTCGAGTTCCAAAACCTGGCGACGTTGAAACCCTCCAACAAGGCGTTCGAAAAGAAGTACGCGCCGCAAACATCCTCAACCCAACTCGGTCTCCTTTTAGTTGTCCCGAATCAGGAGTTCACCCGCCCCGTTTTCTTTTTTAATCCCTCCAGGTTTCGGTTTGACTGCACCAACGAGCGCGCGTTGAGAAGGGTGCTGCAGGAAGACGTGGTGAAAGACGTGCTGACTAACGCACACGTGCAGAGCGTCTTGGAGAAGGAGTTTGAGAAGATGAGGGAGGACAGGGAGATCCTGCGGGCGATTTTCCCCACTGGTGACAGTAAGGTGCGTGACCGTATGGTCCACAGCAGGACAGCGAAACATTATCAGAAAGGACTCTTAAAATCTGCTCTGACTTCAGATTAAGTCAGAGCAGTCAGCAAGCTAAAGAAACATTCCTAAATGTAAAAAAAGTGTTCAGGAATGGTAATAAAGTTTTCAATCAGCCATTGCAGGTAAAATCAGAAGCAGGAATCTTGAGCCTGGGCATTTCCCTTTAAATCAGTTTTATTTGCATGAATTTACTTAATGAGATCAGATTTAAATGGTTTTGCGGTCGGATCTAAGTAAATGTTACGTGCTTTTAAATCCTGTCCTCAGACCTTAAATGTGTGGTTTTGACATTTTCAACATTTGCAATAAACCTCAGAACTATGATGAATCTCTATCATCCTCATAAGCCTCTTGACATGGTAGATTATGCATTAATTGTATGAACTGCAATATGTCTCTTTGCCTGTAGGTGGTGCTGCCGTGCAACCTGGCCAGAATGATCTGGAATGCTCAGAAGATCTTCCGAATCAACACTCGAACCCCAACAGACCTAAATCCCCTGCGAGTGGTTGAGGGTAAAGCTGACAAATAAAAAAACCTAAATCTCTTTAAACTTGAGAATTGCTAAATCACGTAAAATAATTACAAGTTGACGTCAAATGTTGTGTAGAGCTGCTTATAAAAACACCTGAAGCCGTTATGTTAGCAGTTTAACAGATCGTTTTTGTTGTGAACTTCAACCCATATGTTTGTTTGTTTTTTTTTTTATATCCTCCCCAGGCGTTCATGAGCTGAGTAAGAAGCTGGTTATTGTCAATGGCGATGATCCTCTGAGCAGGCAGGCCCAGGAGAATGCCACTCTGCTCTTCAACATCCACCTGCGGTCGACGCTCTGCTCCAAACGCATGACGGAGGAGTTCCGCCTGTCCACCGAGGCTTACGACTGGCTGCTGGGAGAGATAGAGACCAAGTTCAACCAATCCATTGTAAGTTCTGCAGATGTTTGCTGGGAGCTGTTTGAGCTTTCATTTTTATCTGAAAGCATGAAACGATTCTTCCTGTCCTCCTCCAGGCCCACCCTGGTGAAATGGTCGGCGCTCTAGCTGCCCAGTCGCTGGGAGAGCCGGCCACCCAGATGACCCTGAACACTTTCCACTACGCCGGAGTGTCGGCCAAGAACGTCACGCTCGGTGTGCCTCGTCTCAAAGAGTTGATCAACATCTCGAAGAGGCCCAAGACGCCATCGCTGACTGTCTTCCTGCTGGGTCAGGCGGCACGTGACGCGGAGAGGGCTAAGGACATCCTGTGTCGACTGGAGCATACGACGCTCAGAAAGGTAAGATTTCCTCTTTTTTTTTTTTTTTTTTTTCCATCTGACAGCGTTTAAAAACTGGCTTTAAACTGAGCGTTGTCTTCCAGGTGACTGCCAACACCGCCATCTACTACGACCCCAACCCTCAGAACACCGTGGTGGCCGAGGATCAGGAGTGGGTGAACGTCTACTACGAGATGCCGGACTTTGACGTGACTCGCATCTCGCCGTGGCTGCTGCGCATCGAGCTCGACCGCAAGCACATGACTGACCGCAAACTGACCATGGAGCAGATCGCAGAGAAGATCAATGCAGGTGGGTTGAGTAACGCTTCATTCAACGTTTTATAAAGAAATGAACCCCCCACTTCCCCACTTGGTTACGCTGCGCTTTCCTTATCTTAGGTTTCGGTGACGACCTCAACTGCATCTTCAACGATGACAACGCTGAAAAACTGGTGCTGCGAATTCGCATCATGAACAGCGACGAGAACAAGTTTCAAGAGGTGAGCTTTGGTTAACGATGAAAGTGAGAGAATCCGGTGTTGGTTCAGATCGTAAGAATCTGCTGTGCTTGACCAGGACGAGGAGGTCGTGGACAAAATGGACGACGATGTGTTCCTGAGGTGCATCGAGTCCAACATGCTGACGGACATGACTCTGCAGGGCATCGAGCAGATCAGCAAGGTGAATCCATCGGGGTTTCTTCTTTTTATTCCTTTAGTTTTGTTTCTTTAGTAAATCTCTACAAATATGTTTTTGCTCGTCTCTTTCAGGTGTACATGCATCTGCCTCAGACCGACAACAAGAAGAAGATCATCATCACGGAGGACGGAGAGTTCAAGGCCCTGCAGGAGTGGATCCTTGAGACGGACGGAGTGAGCCTCATGAGGGTGCTCAGTGAGAAGGACGTGGATCCTGTCAGGACCACCTCCAACGACATCGTGGAGATCTTCACGGTACAAAACCCGTTCCCGTCTTTCATCATGAGCTCAACGTTTATTTCACAGGGATCGTCACTGAGAATTGTTTGGTTTTGAATTGAAAAGGTTTTGGGTATCGAAGCTGTCCGAAAAGCTCTGGAGAGAGAGTTGTACCACGTCATCTCCTTTGATGGCTCCTACGTCAACTACCGCCACTTGGCTCTGCTTTGTGACACTATGACCTGCCGCGGTCACCTGATGGCCATCACACGTCATGGCATCAACCGTCAAGACACCGGGCCTCTCATGAAGTGTTCCTTTGAGGAGACGGTACAAAGATTTGTATTTAACTCAAAAGGATCAATCCTCACTTTTTTTTCTTTTTCTTTTTGTAATTCTTAACAAATCTTGTTTCCTTTTATTCTGCAGGTGGATGTCCTGATGGAGGCGTCCTCTCACGGAGAGTGCGACCCGATGAAGGGCGTGTCGGAGAACATCATGCTCGGCCAGCTCGCCCCAGCAGGGACCGGCTGCTTTGACCTGCTGCTGGATGCTGAGAAGTGCAAGTACGGCATGGAGATCCCGACAAACATCCCCGGCATCAGCGTGGCGGGGCGTAAGTGGAGGCGCTGCTCTTGATTTTTAGGTGTAGATGTTTTGGGATAGCGCATATGTTGATACGTTCTACGTCTTTGTTTGCAGCCACTGGAATGTTCTTCGGCTCGGTGCCGAGCCCCATGAGCGGTATGTCTCCCGCCATGACACCCTGGAACACCGGAGCCACCCCAGCGTACGGAGCATGGTCCCCCAGTGTTGGTAGGTTCAAATATAGCCATTGCTTTGGACCTCTCATTGATTTCTATTCATTCACTGACTCTTTATTTGGTCACGTAGGAAGCGGCATGACCCCTGGAGCAGCAGGTTTCTCTCCCAGCGCAGCGTCAGACGCGAGCGGCTTCTCTCCAGGTTACTCCCCAGCCTGGTCTCCCACACCAGGGTCACCGGGGTCTCCTGGACCAGTCAGTCCATACATCCCATCTCCAGGTTAGACTGCACCAAATGATCCAGACAGTCTAGGCAGACAAACTGGACTTTGAATTATGCAGAGCTGCTGTGAGTGAACCCTACATGATTGGTTTTTGAATTTTCTTCCTCAGGTGGAGCCATGTCACCAAACTACTCTCCCACCTCCCCTGCCTACGAGCCTCGTTCTCCGGGGGGCTACACCCCTCAGAGCCCAGGCTACTCCCCAACGTCGCCTTCCTACTCCCCCACCTCTCCCTCTTACTCCCCCACCAGCCCCAACTACAGCCCCACGTCTCCATCGTACTCCCCTACTTCGCCCAGTTACTCCCCGACATCTCCCTCCTACTCTCCGACGTCTCCATCTTACTCCCCGACGTCTCCCTCCTACTCCCCCACTTCTCCCTCGTACTCCCCGACGTCTCCGTCATATTCTCCGACCTCTCCGAGCTACAGCCCAACATCGCCGAGCTACAGCCCGACGTCGCCCAGCTACTCCCCTACTTCACCCTCCTACTCGCCAACCTCACCCTCTTACTCTCCCACTTCTCCATCCTACTCCCCCACCTCCCCTTCCTACTCCCCTACCTCTCCGTCCTACTCTCCGACCAGTCCGAGCTACAGCCCCACATCGCCGAACTACACCCCAACTTCCCCCAGTTACTCCCCTACCTCCCCTTCATACTCTCCCACATCGCCCTCTTACTCCCCAACCTCCCCCAACTACACACCAACCAGTCCAAACTACTCCCCAACTTCACCCTCTTATTCCCCTACATCTCCATCCTACTCCCCCTCCAGTCCACGCTACACCCCTCAGTCGCCCACTTACACACCCAGCTCGCCGTCATACAGCCCCAGCTCTCCATCATACTCCCCAACCTCGCCCAAATACACCCCGACGTCCCCCTCGTACAGCCCCAGCTCTCCAGAGTACACCCCCACCTCTCCGAAATACTCCCCGACGTCGCCAAAGTACTCGCCTACATCACCGAAGTACTCCCCCACCTCCCCTACCTACTCCCCAACAACTCCGAAATACAGCCCCACCTCCCCCACCTACAGCCCGGCCATCAGCCCCGACGACAGCGACGAGGAAAACAACTGAGCTGCGGAGGAGGCGGGGGGGAGGCTGAAGGACAGCAGCAGCTTTAATCGGCTTGAGAAGGTGGCGCTGTGGGACCCGTGACTCCACCGGGAAGCTGCTCCCTCCCCCCCACCAAGGCGTTCAAAACTGTTTGTGAAAGACTTGCGCTGCTTTACCTGATGAGGGGTGAAAATGTTGCCTTTTGAAGTAGTTTCTTTACTCTTTAATTTCAAGATGGGGTGTGAAGAAAAACTGATAATCCCCCAGAGGGAATGAAAAGGGGAGGAAGATGTGAACATTTAAGTCTCTTTTTAACTTTGGTGTCCTGCATCCAGTCCCTCTCTCTCTCTCTCTTTCTCGCAGTCTATAAATGCTGGTTGTGTCGTCGATGGTGTACATGTTGCCAAAAGCCTGAGAAGTAAAGATTGTATTCACCATTTAAACATAAACCATAATATCACAAAAACTGTTTCTTGTTGAGCATTTAAAGAAAGTTTAGGTGGACACATTTGTATCATCTGCATAAATACACACTTTAAAAAAAGAAGAGAGAAACTGGTTAGGAGAGAAAGGACTTTTATGTCCTTGCTCTGAACTTACATGAGCATATATGTATCCATCACCTCCATCTTCTTCATCCTTCACACCCCAAAAACCTGAAAGATGTCACAAAACTACCCACCAGCATCTTTTTGTCTACCATTTTAGAAACTTGTACATCAAAAGCAGACAAAAAAAAGAAACACTTTTCCAGATGCTAATCTTCCCTAGAAACTGGGAATGTCGGATTTCACGCAAGAAATTGTAAAAATGAATCTGATCTTTGATTTTGAATCTGTGACGGAATGGAGCTCAGAATAGATGAGGGATAATAGTTTTGGTCTTGCTGCTTTTGTCCTTGTTTTCAGAAGTAGTGCACGTCTATACATTTTAAAAATCCCTCCTACATTTTTGCAAATTTTTGTCCTATTTCTAATAGCTGAAGTGTACTTGCGTTCTGCTCAGTTTATTTATGAAGTTAACTACTATTCTGTATGAGTATGAATAGAGAAAAGAGTTTCATTTTTTTTTTCTCGTTTGCTTTTGGTGACTTTTTAGTCCTGTTTGCAGGAAGTTCATCTGCTCTGGATGAAGAGGCAGGGGGACAGATATTAATCGCCAGCTGACTTTCTCATTTTAACTTTCTCGCTCCAGTTAAAATAGCCTGGAAGTTTAAAGTCTGCAGAGGGAAACACTTTCTGTCCTGCTTCCTACAAAAGTCGGAGATGGTAGAGTCACACTTTATTTTTTAACAAGAAATGGTCCAAAGAAACTGCACTGTTAGCCTTTGTTTTAAAAATCCCACTACAGTAGTGCGAACTTCTTTTTTACATCTTTACACAGCTTGCTGGCTTGGTAAATTTGGGAGGTTGTTGTTGTTTGACCCTTCCTCGTTTGTTTTTGAAATTACTGGTTTCCCTACCTCTTCATCCTGGAGTTTCTAAAATCAGTGTTTCCTTGTATTTTTTTTTTCCTCCATGCATTTCACCTGTGATGAGGGGAAATCATGGGAAGGAGGTGGTTTTAGCGTCGACTCCGACTGGGAGTCCCGCTGAGCTAAAATGCATATTTTAGGTTCGGGAAAACGTGATGCAATCTAATTTTGTGGAAACAAACAAATCTGCTTCATATTTAGCCTCGGCTTGAATGAGTGGCGTTTTCTGGCCTTAGACATAAAGCGGGTCCGATGGACATTAATTCCACAAAGTGTTGCATTTTGTCCACTACGTTTGCATCCAACGCTGTTGTCTTAACTGTGCTGTTTTGTCAGTCCACAACAACAGGACTCCCATGTTGAATGAATGAGTTAGTGTGTGTACGTTTGTGTGACTGGAGCGTCTGAAGGTGATGCAGGGTCTCAAGCTGAGGAAAGAATTCATCTGTCCAGTTTAAAGGAAGGTTTAACTTAAAGTTGCCACTGTATAAAAATCAAGTCATGATCTCATTCTCTGTATCTCTGTTCTGTTTGTTTTTTGACTTGAAAAAATGAATAAAAGTTTTACTATATCATTGTGTTGCTTATTACTTTTTTTAAAAACTTATTTTTACACAATACCTGGTTTAGCAAGGTTGATTGCAGTTTTTAAGGGAAATAATGTGAAATGTTTATTAGAAATTGTTTTAAACTTAAAACCAAAGTTATCAAACAGGCTGATGTTGGTGCAACAATTTATTGAAGCTCTCTATTTTTGTAGAATGTCCTTTTAAAAAAATATATGATTAATTTAGACTATAACACACCTTTAAAAAATTAATTTGTTCATACCGATTTGCAGGTCATGGCATGTTTCATGACTTTAGCGTGTTTTAAACATAAAGTACTATTTTTGTTCTTTAGCTTTTCTGAACTGGATTTGCTGTTGTCTTTGGAGTTAGAACAATTTTGGCCCAGCTTTAGCTGAGTTTTATTTTTCTTTAAAGAGAAGAGACTTGGCAACCCTTACAAATAAGCCCCACTGATTCCGCATTTCTCTACTGCTGAAACATTTTTATCATGCTAGCTGAAGGCTAATAGCTGCAATGGCGTCTCAGATGCGTTGATGTGTTCGGATTACCGTTAGCTGGCTTTGTTTCCGGCTGCGATTATTTCAACAATCTCCATGTTTTCTCAAGCCATACGTACTCCTAGACATCCCAGATGTTTCCTGTACCAATATAACAAATATAAATTTAATTTTTTATAGAAATTACATAAAACGTTTCTATTAGCATTGCTGAGGTCTCCACCTTGGCGAGTTAGCTAAATTAAGCTAATCTGATGTTGTACCATCGCTGTAAGGACAAAAATGCGCTTATTTCCTATATTTTTGGCAAATAAACATTTTCTAGCACACGTGTACTTATTGCTTAATTATCACCGTGTATTAAAAATATAAAAAAATACTCACTTTAATTTTATTCGGGTAACAAAAATACATTGCACCTATCGACCTAAAGAGGGCGCTCTCACCTCACTGTGAGTTCATCAACATTGATTTCCTCAAAGGAGTCATTCACGGTTCAGGGACTTTTTACAGGTAACCGGGTGGCAAATTTAAAAGATTTGCTGCTTTTGCCACCTGTGTTATTGAGCACCTTCAAATTTGATCTTTTCTTTCTTCTGCTGAGCAAACAATTTTGCTCAACTAACCCCCTCTCCACCACAGAAAATACAGGGTTGAAAAAAGTTTTTATTACTGTTATTAGTGTATTAGTGCAGAAGACTGCATGACTAAATGAGCATCAAAGGTCAGTAAAACATAAAAAGGGCCACCTTTTCAAATAGGATTCATATAAAAACCAAATTACGCCACTCGTGGGCAGCTATAGTTACCTTTTTAAGACAACTTCTAACATTTGAACTGGAACCTGACAGAATCTGAGAAGGGACCTAAACATTAGGGTGATGACAAGGAGGCGTTCCGGCTTGGAGCTTATTATCACAGAATAATTGCCAAAACATTAGAGAGGAGACAAAAAGCTGATCAGCAGTTACAATAAGGATTTGACTGCTGTAATGCTAATAAATATGTTTCCATTGGGTTTTGGGAAGGATACAAGTAATTTTCTACATGCTGTTTTTTTATTTGTTGTTGCAATTTTAAGCAAAATGATTGCATATAACATGTTTTCCTAATATCTTGCAGCCCAACTTTATCCAGCAGTTGCTGTGGTGAATGTTAACCTGAGTAAAATTACAATCACTCCAAAAAAAAATTCTAGAATATTGACTATTAGACAAATAAGTCCAAAACAGAGATGTTTCATCATTGTACAAAGTTGTTTGGAGAAACACAGCTCATCAATACGATGACTTGGACTTGTGTTTGCATCACTTTGCGCTCATCGAGTTCACCATAAACTCCTTTTGTAGGCCAAAGCATGCAGCATTTCATCTGTCTGTCCAACGTGGCATCATTGTTCATCAACAGAACAAGGATCCCTGAACTCAGCAGCAAATGGTAAAGAAAAGATTTGAAATGTTGCCCAGTTAAAGTCCAGACCTCAGCCTGAGTGAAATGTTGTTGTGGGATCTTATGAGAGCTGTGCAGAAGCACAAACCTGCATACCAACGTTGCTTACTTTGCATTGCTTTATGAAAAGTGTTAGTAGTACATTTGAGGTTAGATTTGTTCCAAAACCTAGTAAAGTCCAGATCCCGTCTTGCGTAAACGTAAGTTTCTTTTTCCTGTAACCAGTTAAAGTACAACCAAAGGGACTCTCTCAGGCTCACTTTAAGGAAGTGCGTTTCCCAGCAGCTTAAGTGCGAAGGCTGCACCCTTTCACACGTTGACTTCTCGCCGAAAGCTTCACGGTTGTTAGAAAGGAATCGTGAAGGACGGAGCTGCTCCGACTGACCACAGTCGAAACCGGACATTTAAATAAACTGTGTAAAAACACATAACAGCTTTTTTTTTTTAACCCTCTCACATTAAATTAGTCTAAGCTTTAACTTTTTTTTTTTTTTTTTTTTTACAATATAATTTCTAATTGCAGAATAATAAGATATTTTGAGACTGTTTTTGTTACTTTCTCTAATTTCTAAAGTTTGCATACAGTGGAGTTTAATGTATCAAAGAGTAGGCGACTGACAGGCCACTCAGAGAGGAAGAAGCCATTACTCAGAAAGAAACATGAAAAGAAAAATTACAGTTTGCTGATGCACTCAGAGACAAAGACCTTGTTTCTTTGGAGTTGATGAAGCTGAATTTGTAATGATTGTTTTACATTTAATGGAAAGAAGAAATCCTCTAGTTTGACATTTAGCAGATACAAATGTTTAGGAAACTGTTTTTTTTGTTGTTGTTTTAATGGTCATCAGAAAGAGTCTGTCTTTTTACACAGTGCGTATAATTATCTGGTTTTAGTTCTGCTGTGTATAATAAAAAATAAAACACAAAACAAACCAATAAATACTCCAAAAACAATATTGACATTTTAATAAGATGTCAGTTTCTCTAACATTAATATAAGCGAACAAACGAACAAAAAGGTAATGGTTTCAGGTCACTACCACGACGTCAACTTTTTATTAAACAAAATTTGACTAGACAACAAAAAAAGAATCAGAAGCGCCATCACCTAAACCTTTTGTTTCTTTTGTTCGCCGTTGTCAAAACTCGCACCATTGTTCCCCGCCGTGTGAGCCGATTGATTGAGTCACAGGCATAAATTGGATTAAGGATTAGATTACCTTTAGATCACAGTGGAGTGAAAAGGATGTCATCACCAATCTGTGACTTAGCTTCAAAATGGACTGAAGCTTAAGTTAGTTGCTCAAACAGTATCAGATTCTGGTGTTTTAGCAACAAAGTCAAAAGGGGTTAAAATCAACACTAAGAGTAAAACCAGATAAGAGGCCGCTCCTGGTTATGTTTCTCAGTTTTTCCCAGTGGAAATGGCTGAATCACAGCTTTTCGTGTGAGCCCACAGGTGAAGCCGCGCAGGAGGGAACGTCGTAAAACCCTGCGTGAATCTCTGCAGGCTGCGGTGCTGGGTGTGTCCTCAGTATGTGTCAAGGCCCGGCTGATGCGACTCATGACTAATGTTTGTTTGGACTTGTTCCCATGGGGAAACGGCAGAGAGACACCGAATTACACAATTTCATGCGCAACTTTCTAGTGCAAGAAGAAAAATGCAGATTCTTCAGGTTTTCTTCCAAAAAAAAAAGTTCCACAAAGCACTTTTCTTTTTTTTTTTATTAAAACGTGAACATTGTTGCAGCTGCTCTTTTGGTTTCACTGGATGGTGATTTTTCTGAAACAAACGACTGTTTAAATTGCATGAGAGCCCTTCTCTCAGGGTTGGCTCTGATTCAATCAGGTTTCCGCTGTTTCTTGCAGCTTCGGGTTGCCTCAGAGGGCCGGGCCTTAGACCACCACAGACTGAGTCAGGAAATATTTGGTGAATGTGTGTGTGTGTGTGTGTTAGAGTTTGTGTGTTTAAGGACGTGTTTCTCCTCGCATTGCTGCGTTTCCCTCCCTGTTCTCTGCTCGGTCGTGTTTGGTCCCAGCTCCGTCTTCCCTCTCCAAGGTGAGTCTGGCAGGTTTTTATCCTTTTCCTTATGCGATTTCCCGGCTTCGTTTTGTTCTCTTTTCTCACGTTTCCTAGCTCTTGCCCCTCTTTCTTCTCTGTTCGCTCATCATCACATTCCTCCCGAAAGCAGCAAAAGAATCTCAGAGCAGGACAACGAGGCTTCGGTTTCGCCTGGGCCTGGATCTGCTCTTGTTTCCTGCTGCGCTCCTGTTATCAGCTGGGGAAAAACCCTGGTTTATGTGCCAACTTTTCCTGGTGTCATTTCCTTTGTGTCGTCAAATGCAAAACTGTTTTACGACTTCCTTAAAGCTAGCCCACATATTCAATCAGGCTGTAGCAGGAAGTTTGGTTATCCCTTATACATTTGTGGGCTCAAATTTCACCAAACTTCTATATGTGTGCTGTAGATTTAAGTCTTAATCAAACCCGGTGTGTTTTTCATCTCAGTTCTCACTCAGAGCTCTTCTCCACTCTCAACATTGTCTGCTCTCCTATTGCTGCTTGCTCAGCAGGGCATGAATGACTGATTGGGTCGATGACCCCAGCAGCCTTGCCTGCTCCGTCGGGTCTTCACCTGAGCGGTTCCTCCGTCCTCCGTCTAACCAGACACCACTTAGCGCTCCATCAGACGAGTTCAAGAGGCCACGTCGTTTTTTTCATTACCTAAACCTTTTGTTTCTTTTGTTCGCCCTTGTCAAAACTCGCACCATTGTTCCCCGCCGTGTGAGCCGATTGATTGAGTTACAGGCATAAATTGGATTAAGGATTAGATTACCTTTAGATCACAATGAAGTGAAAAGGATGTCAAGTGGAGGATGTTTGCCTGAATTTTGCTTACAAGCGCATTGCAAATGTGTCGCCACTGCTTAACTTTTCAACATCTCGTCCCGTTACAACTCGAAGCTTCAGGTGGTTTTATTACAGATTTAGGTGATTAAACCAACACAAAGCAGTTCAAATAGAAATCTGAGCTCCTAAAATAAATCCAACTGCCTTTGGTAAATATTCGCCCGAGTCAACATTTTGTAGAGCCACCTGTAGTCACACCTGCATGTCTTTTTTGGACACGTCTCTGCCATCTGAAATTGTCACTCGTTTTCTGGAAAAAGAGTTTTAAACACTCAGATTTGATTAAAAGTATCAGAATGTCGGTTTTGAATTGTCGCCACAAATTCTTGATAGGATTTAGGCCCTCCTGTCCGCCGTGTACCCCCGTCTTCATGATGATGTTTGATCGCTGATGTTGCCCAAAAAAAAACCTCTGAGGCCTTCACACAACAGCTGGGTTATACCAAAAAGAAATCACTGGGAGTCTGTCCGTGACTCGGTTCGTCAATTAGTTAGACTGGATTTTAGTGCTATATCAATCGTCAAACATATTAAACAATAAAAACACATTGATGTTTGTGGTTGTGACGTGACACAATGTGGAAAGATTTAAGCAACATGAAAAACTTTAGCCAAATCCAGTTTATCCAGGTCTGTCTTGGAAAGCCAAGCTGAAACCAAGCAACGAGTCATTGTGTAACTGTAGCAACAAGATTTTGTTTTTACAACTGGGAGGAGCCGATTAACATCTGAAAAGCTGAAGTAATACCTGAAATGCAGCTCCAGACTTCATGGTTGCAGAGCAGAACCAAAGAGCAGAGAGAGGAAGGAGGAGGTTCAAACCATCTCTTCCATCCATCCACTACTCCAGCGTCTCTGTCGAACTTATATGCCCAGACAGAGATTTAAAGGGGAGCAGAAAAAGCAAATGAGACGGATTAGCAGGGCGCGCAAACACCTGCTGGTGTCGTCCAGGACGTGCTACTGTGCTTTGCACTCAAAACCCTCTCAGTTTATGGGTGCTCCAGAAATGAAGCAGGGTTTCTCTGTGTGAACAGCAGATAAGTTAAGCTTTCTGCTCTCATTTAAAACCAAGTGCTTATATTTAGCAGCAGATTCCTACAGACTCCTCCAGCTCTACAGCTTTGAGATTTTATTGGGTTGTTCCAGTGACTCTTGTTCTACCAGCATGGGAACCAGCTCTAGGTTATCCCTAGAAAGGCCTGTAACTCCCTACGGCTGAGGAGTGGTGAAGTATGTATGGAAGCCCATTTCCGCCACTCTTTTTAGAAAATAAAAAATAATTATCTCATAATAATGAGATACTATCTCGTAATAATGAGATACTATCTCATTATAATGAGATAGTATCTCATTATTATGAGATAATTATTTTTTATTTTTTTAACAGAGTGGCGGAAATGGGCTTCCATAGTGAAGGAAAAGGATGGGAAAAAAAAAAAAAAAAAACAAGACAGACGAGCTTGCTCTTTCAGTAATTATTATCAGCCTTGGCGCTTTGCTTTAGCCAGGATCCAGGAATCCGATGCTGCTCCCCCTCTTCCTCTCTCTCCGCCCTATCCACGGGCCGCAGGTAGGCTTTCATCACGGCGGCTCCAGTTTCCTGCCACATATAAGCTAACCGGGCCAGGTGAGCTCAAACACTCCTCCTCGGCAGGCCGCTCGATACCTCACAGCTTCGCACACACAACAAACACACACAGTCCAGCGGGCACGGAGAATGGAGCCGGAGGCAGACAGCATGCCGGAGGCACCGGAGGAGATCATACAGTTAAGTGGAGTGGGGCCTTCTTCCTTTACTCAGAACCGCTCTTCCAGCGCGGTAACCTTAACCCCGGGGCCTTTGTACGTGCTGCTGCTTTGGCTCCTCTCTGTTTCCATGCTCCCCTTTTACTTTAAGCCGTCATAGATTCACTTCACTGCTCTCCGTCTTCCTCTCCGGCTTTGGCTGTTTCGGTCGGTGGGGAGGAAGGAGGAGCTGCACTGGCATCCTGTTTGCCAGACCACAAAATCTGATAACCAGTTCGCAGTAATTTCGGTTTCCATCTAACGAGGTGTCTTAAAATATTGCTTTGGCACGACTCTGAACATTAATATCAAATTAAGTATTTGTTTTCTGTTCGTTATCTCTCTTTTTTTTATGGTGGACGCTCGGCGCCTGTTTTTTGGTGGCAGAAAATGAGCCATAAAGTCTTGACGTTTATAGTGATGGATATTGTTGCGACGGCTTGTTTATTTTTAAACCCAGCTGAGTAAAACTGTCTGAATGTATCGATGAATCTACAGAGGAGCTCCGTTCATGAGATTTTGGAAAAATCTGCAAAAAATTATAACGGCACCCCATATTCATATTCATATACATGCAAACGAAATGTGCAGAATAAAGTTGAGAAAAATCCAAACGTCATCTTGAGCATGACAGAAAAAACAATGAGCGTTAAGATTATTTTTCCACGAAATCATTCATTAGCACCTTAAAAACTCTTGGGAAAATAAATGGTTTTGTTTTTAAATGCGTGCTTCACCTTCTGAGGCTTTAATTACAAATTCACAGCCTTCTGTTTTTAAAGGGGTGAAAATGTGATGCGATACTGAGGAGTGTTTCTTTTAATTAATCTTCAAAATGTTAAAACGCGAGAATGCTGGGAAATGACTGCAAAGCGAAACTTTCCCATATCTACAATCGGGGCAATGATTAAAACGTTACAATTAACTGGAGCGATGACGAACGAGAGCAAAGTTCATCTTGGTATCACACAAACTACGGATAACGGTGGAGACAAAAAAGATCAAAATCCAGCTATGACCTTTCGCTTTGCAGCATTTAGGCTGCATAATTACAACACAAATCATTTTAATACCTGCTTATATTTATATGTTTATTAGTTTGTCACTTTTGGGTCTATTTGTACTCAAAGAGCAGCATGTTGGGTCCACCAGGTCTCCACAGGTTTTTTCTGTCCTACCATCACAAATGCAGAATTTGGTAAATACTACTGAGACTTTAACTGGAACTCATCTTTTTTTTCAGCAACAAACATTTCAGGTGAGAAACCTTTGTTAAGCCAGATACGTGTAAAAGGACCTCTTGACCGTTGTGTTGCAGGGTAGAGGATCTGTGATGCTGTGGGTCTGTTTCTCGTCCTCTTTCAAATATTCCCTTGAAGAATTGCGACAGTGCGCAGCGTCGTAAAATACAAAGATTTTACTTGAAAATCAAGTGGATTCTGGCAGAAAAAAAAAAAACAGTTTTCTGTGTTGATTCAGAAAATCAGCACAGAAATGGTTCAAGAGTCAAAGTCAATCCTCTTGATGAGTCGTGGCATGAGCAGTTCTGTTAAAAATATATTTTCTTAACCTAAATCAGTAGTTGAGTCCCTGGACTCTTTGTTTTCAGCAGTTCGAACATAATCATGCAGGGCGGATTTCTGCTAGCAAATCAGCTTTGTTTTGTTTTCAACAACTCCTTATCTACACATGTTATCCATCTGGTAGATAGAGAGGGATGTGTAGAAGGACGTGAGGATAATCTATTATCTTATCATCCATAACGTGAACATAAACATCTCGGTACGTTTATGTCCATCCTCTTGGGAGCGTCGTAGGATGAAGTTAAGAGAAACACAGTTGAGCCCTCGTGTGTTAACAATTTATCCAAGAATTGATGCTCATGATGGGAAAAGAAATCTCATCCACATCTTCCCATGTTGCCACAAACATCCTTTCATTTCATTAAGGTCTTATGTGAGAGTCACATTAGTGAAAACCCTGTAAATTCTAGACTCTAGCAGGTAAAAATAGTGCACAAAAATCCGTGTAGGACGGCGAAGTCCTAGCGCAAAAATTCGCGTGATAGGTGGACGGAGCCTGGCGCTGCAAGGTTGGAGACCTTGT